GGTGACACGGCCCAGTGGCGGGAGGGCGGGGGTAGACAGGCAGTCAGCTTCTCTTACCTGACGATCATTTATTCTTGATTAGGAAATATCTGTTACGTGAAAACAGCCTGTAATGCCTACGTAATTCAGGAGGCATAATAATAAAATGGAAGCCCGGGTTAATCTACCATCTCATTTTTAGAAAAATTATAGAAGCCCTGTGAACGCTCACTGCATCCTTCCTTGCCACAGCCGCAAGATGACCAGTGCCTTGATATTTGCCTGTTGTGCTTTTTTTTCGGTTTCGTCATCTATGAATAACGATTAATGAACGCTTTATGTTTAATGTTTTGTGTATTTTTTTAGTTTGTAATAATGATGTCAGACTGCACTGGATATCTTTTTCATTCTGTGTTTTTATGAGGTGTGTCAATGTTGAGTGAGTAAATACACTTGAATCATTTCCACAACTTGTCAGCTCTCCTGTTCTTGGACGTTCAGTGTCCAAGAAGTGTTTCTACTTCTTGCCTTTATAACAGATGCTTCTGTGGACACTTAGTGTGTCACCCACAGGGATTTCCAGGGGAGAGCCTGCCTCTGAGGCCATGAACAGCTTCAGCAGTATAATGGAAGCAGCCATTGTCCCATCAAGTGGCCTGGCCACTTGATAGCCCTAAGTGCTGTGTTCATGAAAGTCTTGCCCATCCATCTTGGCTAATAATTGACTTCAGTAGATTTTTAGATCTTGGCTAACTTAGCAGGGGTAAACTCTTGTCTCACTGTGGTTTTTGTCTGCATTTTTCTGATTACTACTGAAGACTAATCATCTTCACTCTGGTTCCTGGTAATTTGTGTTATCTGTTCATGTACTTGCTGGTGTTCCTCTTGTATTGTCTTTTCTAATTTGATATTTAAGGCTTTGTTATTGTTCTTTTACATACGGCTTAGACTTGAGAAACTGAACTAAAATGCAGATCTATTCACACCTCTTGTTGTCTCCTCACTGAAAGTTGGAGATTCTTGCCTTGGCGATAGTGACCCTTACACTCATCCCCACCTCATTCTGCTGTGTTCTCCCCAAACCCATGCAACTTGGGGGCACTTGGAGCTGCTTGGGTTGGCTAGGCTGCTTTATGTGGGGCAGCCGTTTTTCTAGAAAGTCATCTTCTGTCCTTACCGTCTCCGGAGTTCCTGTTCTTCCCACTTCTATATGGGGAATGCCGCAGGCGTCAGGGCTAGAAGGTGTAAAGACACATTTGATGTATTATTTATGTCTAAAATTTTCTGTCATGATCATGTTTTAACAGCTTAGAAACCTTTCTGGCTGGAGAAGCCTACCCCTTCTGGGGACAGCCTGTCCTTGGAGAGCAGCTTGATATCAAACTAATCAATCTGCAGCCACATCTCTATGTGATCCCCTGACCCCCAGGGGCAATGTCTCTGCCTCAGTCATGCTAAGAGTTTCAGGCATCTAGGGACCTTCCTACAACTTGAACTTTGTGAAATTACTTGTAACTAGCAAGCCTGAACTCCCCTGCCTTACCTTGAAACCCCAGTCCAGCCTCAGAGTCCCCCGGCTTCTGCTCTCTGCCCCTCACATCCGAGGCGCTGCCCAGCCCGCTTGCCGCCTGTTTCCAGGGCCTGTGAATGGGATGAATGTCATGTTTTTCCCCCTGTGGCCTCACCTGACTGTCCATCACATGGAAGACTAGGAAACATCTGATTTCCCTCCAGTATTATTGAGATAAAATTGACATCTAGAGCTAGAGAAGTTGAAGGTGCACAGCATAATTGACTTACATGTAATGTGAAATTACCACAATAAGTTTAGTTAATATTGATACATCATCTCATGTAGATTCAAAGTGTTTTATTTTCCCCAGAGGGGAACTCAAAAGGTCTTCTCTGTGAATAAGTTTGATATACAAATATATACTTGTGTGTGTGTGATTTATATATTTATATTTATACATGCATACATGTACGCACACACACTCACTCACACACACACGTGTATACCACACAAGTGTTACCTGCAGCCACTGCGCCTTACTTGCTCACCTTAAAACTGGAAGGTTGTACCTTCCGACCGCCCTCTCCAACTTCCATCTCCCTCCCACCCCACCTTCACTGCTGTGGTGACTACAGAGCTGGTCTCTTTTGTCGATAATCCGTTTTTATTAGATTCCACATGGAGTGAAATCATTCAGTATTTGCCTTTACCTGCTTTACTTACATCGTTCTGACCGTGTTGTTCAAAATGTGAGGATTTCCTTCTTTAAGACTTGTGTGTGTGTCTGTCTGCACCTGTCCACTCATTTGTCTGTCTGTCTGCCTAGATACCCATCATCTATCTGTCCACTTGCTGTCTGTCCACCTGTCTATCCATCCACCCACCCACCCACCCATCTCTCTCCAGGCATGCACTCACCTGTCTATCTGTCCATCCATCTATCCAATAGCCCGTCTATCCGTCCGTCCATCTGTCCATTCGTCCGTCCATTCATCTGTCCATTCGTCCGTCCATCCGTTCATTTATCTGTCCGCCCATCCACCCATCCACCCATCCGTCCATCTGTCCATCCACCCGTCCATCCAGCCATCAGTCCATCCATCCATCCATCTGTCCATCCATCCACTCACCTGTCCGTCCATCCATCCATCCAGCCATCCATTTTCCTGTCTGACTGATCTGTCATCAGTCCCTCTATGGCCCAGTACCCAAATTCCCCATTTGTAAAGACAGCAGTTAGACTGGGCAGGGACCCCACCCCGCTTCTGCGGGGCCTCATCTCCACTCACTACACTCACAGTGGCCCTGTTGCCACAGACCACATCCCCAGGTACGGGCCAGGACCTCAGCCCCTTGAGCCTCCAGGGGCACCCGGTGCCGGCCACAGCAGGGCCTGTGTGTAGCCTCATGTGAGGTCAGAAAATGGCCCCTTCACATTAGAACACGAGCCTTCTCTCCCCTTTGTCTTAAGGCCGAGAGACGAAACCATAACATGGAAACGGGCTGGTGGTGAGCGTGCAGCGGGAGGTAGATAATGAGGCCTTTGTTCAAGCGCAGTAATTCCCTCCACCTTGGGAGAAAACACAGCGCCCATTGTCGGCCTCTTGCCTGTTACACAGTTGCTGCCAAGTGGATATTATTAGCCCGAAACCGGTGGGACCCAAATTGACGCCTGTTAGGCAGGGTGGTGGGCAAGGAGGAGGGAGAGGCGGGGGAGGCGAGCCGAATGCGGCCGAGCTAAACCCACACTTCCTGGCGTGTGGTTAGCGTTTTTAGAAGGTGCCAAGTGGACACTCGGGCGGCGTGGGGCCCCGGCATGTGGCCGCTCCAGGAGGGCGTCCGCCGCCGGCAGCGTGTGGTCGGAGCCCGGTTTCTGGACAGCGGCTGCCCGCCTACCTGGTCGTCCTCCTTCCCGCCCCGCGGTTCTCCGAGCCGGGGACCGATCGTCACTTCCCATAAGCACTTGTTACGTGCTGTTCGCTTACCCCTTCCGCCCTGGCTGCTCAGAACGCACCTCCGGGGACAGGGCTCTGTGCCCAGTTTTGTGTCCCGAAACTGCAGTGCGTCGGTGGGCACCCAGCTGAGGACGTGTGAGGGGACCCCTATTCTGGGGGCCAGAGCCCGCGCTGTACCAATCTGGAAATACTTTTGCAGCTGACCCTCGTGTCACGCAGCATCTCTCCCTTCAGTTATCACTGCCAGCCCGCATGGGGCTGCGACGGGAAGGTCACGGCCAGCCCGGGCCACGGGCGCCTGGAGTTGGAGCAAGCTGGCCGGCTTTCTGGGCCCACGTCCTCCCCAGCGTGGGCTTTCCGTGCCTACCCCTTGGCCGCCCACTTTCCACAGGACTGTCCGGAGGGCAGGGGCACCTGCGAATGTCCAGCAAGAGCCGAACACCAGCCCGAGCCCCTGTCCCCGTGCGCTTCCCTCTGGCCTTTTCTCAGACGTTTGCAGCGCGTTTTTGCTCGGTTTATTGGAAGTTCAGTGGAACTTTAGCTGCTGGAGGTACCGTGTGCGTTTCCCTTTAAATACTGTTCTCTGGGAACAGCGCCTCTTTCATTCCTTCATGCCTGCTTGCAGCTGTCACTCTCTGGAGCCACTTTGACTTGCCCTTGTCCCTCCTGACCCTTGAAGCAGCTCACAGAGGTGGTGTCGTCCTCAGCGCAGGGTTCCAGCAAACCCACGGTGCGGACTCAGCAGGTGGCCGCAGGGCCCCTGTTGCCAGAGTCACCGGGATGAGCTTCCCCGCGTGCGGGATCGGCTTACCCCGCGCCGCGGTGGCCTCCTGCAGCGTGTCCCGGAGCGTCAGTGGTTCCGTTTGCTGTGGACACAGTTCCCATCTAGCTGCCTGAACCGCAAGCTCTCCTGTATGGAGCCTGGGTCTGCATTGTCCAGACCTTGTTGGAGGTCATCTAGGTGTTACGAGGTGCCCTCCCCCACTGCCAGCCCTCGCCCTTGGAGGCGTGGGCGTCTGTCAGCAGGCACACCGGGTAGCGCTGCTTTCCCACCACCCTCGCTGAGGCCACTGACACGCGCCCACCACTGTGGGCAGCTTGCTTCCATGCTTCTGGGCAGCACAGCCTTGCACGGGGAGCACGTGGGAGCGGCCTGTGTGTGTGCTGATAGACGGGGGGTCAGCAGACCTGTTCAGTCCACACGGTGGAGCAGTGCTCAGCGGCGAGGACAGGTGGCGGGGTTTACAGCAGACGGACGGAGCGGGGGGGAGTGCCGTCTCTTAGAGCAAATCAGAGGGGCAAGAACAAACACTGGGCATTTAGGGTGCAGATGGTTTGATAAAGGCAAACTCAGAAACTGCTGGACATGAATACACACAAGATGCGGGGAGGGGCAGGGACGAGATGGGGGAAGAAAGTGGCCGAGTGGCGCTGGTGTGGCCATGGGAGAGCTGGGTGTGAGAAGAGCGAGGACACGCTTGTAGGGAAACAGACTGTGAAGAGCAGCAGTGTGGGCAGCGAGGTGCTCCTTCCAGACGCTCTAGGTGAGGGTCATGCTCTTCTGGCAGCTCCACAGCGGTCTGTGTCTGGGGACACATGGCCTCCTCTTCTGTCTGCGAGGTCTCCCTGGGCTTGCACCCAAGGACACTTTCAACCAGGGGTATAGCCCCCCCCCACCCATAACCTAAACAGCCGCCTCACGTCACCACCCTCAGCTGAACCACTTCTGTAGAGACGTTTCTGATCGGAGCTCACGTGTGCGTCCCAGCGAGAGGGTGTGGCGTGTCTTCAGGCTTCATTCTTTGGCCTACCATGGCTGAGCATCTCCCAGGCCCACATGACCAGCTGGCACCTGCTCACCTCATGCCCCCTCCCCCTGCCCCAGTCACTTTCCCTTTTCGTCTACACCACAGATCTTCAGCTGTAGCCTTTCTCTCTGCGCCTTCCTGTGGGCCTGGGCCCCTTCTCTTCATTGTTGCATGGCTAAGTTGACATTTTTCACAGACCCTGTAGTCTAGCCAGTGTCATCTCTCGTCAGGCTCCTGCCCCGATGAACTCTGGGCTGTGTGGCACAGTGGGCAGAAGCCCAGGAGTCAGACTGTCTGGGCCCAAATCCCAGGCTCGCTGGTTAATAGCTGTGTGACTTTGGGTAAGTCACTTAATTGCTCCTGCCTAAGTTTCCTTGTCCGTAATAGGGGATAATTAGGGTCCATACTTTAAAGAGTCGTTGGGAGGATTGCCCAAGTTAATAATTATAAACTGCTGAGAACACAGTCTGTCACTGCACTGTCCAGAACTGTAGCCAGGGGCCATATGTGGCTGTTGGACAATTAAGATGTGACTAATAGGGCCAAGGAGCTGAATGCTTAAAACAGAAGCAACATAAAACCTGTTTCTGTTGAACATAACCTTGTTGTTTCAGTAGGAGTCCATTTCACTCCAGCTGATACTTTTCACACATAAACACACTGCTGGTTTTGCTGGTGTGAACGCATTTATTCACGTCGAGTGGCTTTTGCCTGTGTGCTAACACCGCCCTGTGTGTTTCTGAGCCTGCTCTGCAGACGGCACAGTTTACATGACGCATGTAAGTCATCACTGTTAATTAAATAGAAATGCTTATCGTTTTAATTAAAATATAATTGAATTGTTTTTCTAGCTAAAAGAGGTAGAGAACAGTTTGGCATCTCAGACACACACACGCTGCTGCTGCCCTAACCCGCTCTACGGTCAGAAAAACAAAACAGAAAAGCCGTTTGCTGTGTACAAGAATTGAAAGAGAATAAGGGGATTCACTCTAGCCAGTCCACAGTGGGTCTGACTAGCTGTTTTCTCAAAAATCAAAAAAGGATGCACGCATTTTGTTACTTGAAATCTGAAATAAATAGCCAAGGGATGTTAAGTTTTTAGCAAGAGGTGGACATGTAACTTTGGCCACCTGTAAAATAGTTTGGATTAACGCACAGAAGAGGAAATACTTTTTCAGTTGGAGAGCTGGTAAAGGAAGTTACTTCCGTTCCTGACTTTTTGTAAAATGACGAGAAGAAAGAAAATAAATACAGCTTATGAAATCGTTAATGGCGTTTCATTAAATGGCCTAAGAGCTGCCTGTAGAAAGCAAGGTCTTTCTAAAATTATTAAACACTAGTTGATTTGAGATTTGAAAAATTTCAAGTGATCTTCTTTATATTTTGGTACATCAGACCATATCCGAGTCACTGTTGGTTAATACTTTATGGGGCCTTTAGCTCAGAGGATTAAGATTTACAAAGAAATGAAGTATATGGATGTCCAGAAATACCAGATTTGCGGCATGGATGTTCTTCAGTGTTTTGCAGAGATGAAAGAAGATTTTCAGATGCACGCAA